CGAACATTGAAGCAAACAGATCACTCTGACATATGTCAGACCATTAACCAATGCCTGCACAGATTGACGCCCTGTGAGAGTATTTACTCTGACAGATCGACCGGAGACACTAATATAATAGTGTATAGATTGTTCCTTTTGCGGCAGTGGGCACTCATAGGTTGCTCGCACTAGGCTAAAATTGTCATGACGGCGGCGACGGCGTCGATTATTTCCCGTAAAAACTTCGGATGGTCCGTCGACGGAGCATCGACGGCGTCGACGGAAAGATTGGTAGGTCCCAACTCCCCGTCGACGGAGCAGTCTCCGTCGACGGACTCCGTCGCTTGCGAAAGCCCGCGGTACCGAGCAAAATTTTGAGAGACCACCGTGGACCGACGGTCCGACGACGGAAATATGTCTGACACTGCAAACAACCCAGTGTTTCCGTTGAATCTTAGGAAGTCCGTCGACGGAGTGCTACGTCGACGGCGTCAAAAATACCGGTAAATCCAGGTGCGAACAACCTATCAGTGGGCAGGTTTTTGAGTTGACGCACGTCGCAAACATGATTGCTGCATTCACAACATTGAACTTCGAAGGCGTCTTCCGCAAAGGTAGAAAGGTAGACCCAACACCTATCCACCTATCTTGGTAGATTGGTAGGCTTTAAGGTATCAGTTCTACCGGTAGGTATCCTAGGGTTTGGGGTTTAGAGTGCCAGTACCGTGCACTCAAGTGGGACTCAAGTTCATTTGTTGCCAGATTCGGTGATTCTTGAATTTTGTTCTTTCCTCGAGAAGGGCTCGAGAAGTATTTCTGGGCCTGACTTTCCTACCTAGAAACATATTCATGATTACCTAGTACCTACATACCATATGATGTTTTCTTCTTCATGGACGGTATTCGGGTCTCGGATCGCTTAATAACGTCAGGGGCCAGTGCTAGGGCCCAACTTGAAATGATTGAACTAGATCAAATTGCTCTTAGCGTCGGTTCGGAGCCGTGTTCGGCTATGTCCGATCGACGGATATCCCTCATGCTATTGTGCTAACTTCTTCTATTACCCAATGATGCTACTTCTCTTTGCTGTACAAAGGTGAAAGAACTTTCCCACGGCTTCAAAATTGCATAGAAAAGCCTTGAGCCTTTTGGTGCCACTCAGTCTGCTCACTTATATGGGTTGAAAGACCCTTCTCCTATCCTCGTAAGCTACGCAATGGAAAACAAAATGGTTTTCGTCTTCTATTGCCGCCACTGTACCCGCGTTTCGCACGATTGCACGTACCGTCGACAAAATCGTCTTGCTCTGTCTATGCCATGCTTGCCATCTTCCTGTTCGACAATGAGAGCCAGCTTATGACATCCTACTGCGAACTTAGCCAATGTATCAATGTATCATGCAGAAAAGGAAAACGGCTTATAAGCTGTCTCAGAGTCGGATACCGTACATGGCTCAAATGAATACCCTTCCTCCACATTCCGTGAAGTACGTAAGTTACGTACGGTACTAATAGTCCCGTTTTCTTCTATGAGGTCTTGCATATAAGCCATTTCCGACAAGTCATGAAGTCACGCAGCTCTTTTTGTGTCCGACGACATTTGATCTCAGCCGTTCAATCGATTGTGCCTGTACCGTTAACGGTACCGGGCCCCGCGGCACGGTCAGATCTCACCAGAGTGTTGCTCGATGGCCAACCTCAGTGTGTGGCCCTTAAGGTTTATACTAAAGTAAGATATGAACTTTTAGCTAGCGCAAGTGACCAATATGACGTTCAGCTAGCAGGCCTGTGACAGTATCTGAGTATCTCAGCTTTGAACTGGCAACGTGAAGCAATTGCTCGGGAAACTTTTTTTGCTCAAGGAAACCCCAAGGAAACAACTGAATTAAGACTTCGATATCCGCATAACTCCATATGAAGAGCCTCGGAGCGGGCCCGACCGGACGGAGGGCTAGGTCGCATATGATCGTGCCAATAGATCCTCCTCTCCGAGTCCATCTTTTTATTTCGCTACTAAGCCGGGCCGCTGAGCAAAACCGTCCGAATCCTTGATCAACTTGTACCTCGGTTGTAAGAAGCTCCTTCAAGTTTGGAAGGACGGGACAAATCAGTGATCAATCACATAATGAAGCCTCTTTGCCCATAAAGATACGCGCAGGGCTCTAGATACATGCCTGCTAGAACATCAGCGAACGGACGGTTGTGATTTCGGGCGTTTCCATGAGGAGCATGCATCCCGACCTCAGTGACGGTGAGGAACATCGGCACAGTTTTAGTAGTGGAAGAATAGATTTCAGTGCGGTATGCTTTGACCAACTTAATATAGCATATGCTTCTAACGAATATATCCAACGATCGGCCTTGATAATCCTACTGTGATGTGACATCGCCATTAAGCGTTTCCCAAATGTACCTGGTAGCAACGTCCGGCCAATACTAGGATTGAACTTGACATACTTGGGTGCAAATGTCACCATGATGTACATATAACTTTGAAACGTGGGAAGTCTTCAAGCCGGCGTTCATCTTGCGTCTGGGTGTGCTCCCATTATCGCCCATCCGCTTTTTGCGCTGCATGCGCACCATCTAGCAAGGCCTCCAGGTCAGTTGTGGATCCACCTCTGCTTGTGCTAAGCCTATCGACTGGCTCCTTGGGCTTCGGAGAATCCAACTTGTCGAACACAGCTTTCTTCTTGGCTTCTTGGATACTAACATACGAGTAATAGACCATCCCTCCCAGGGCAATGCAAATTCCCAAAATATTCCTAAATGTGACCGGTGTCTTGAAAGCTATGAAGCCCAAAGCCAAAACCAGACACGTCTTCAAGTGACCAAGTACCTGCACGTAGGACGGGTCACCAAGCTTTACGCAATCCAACAATCTTGGACAACAAAAGCTGCCAGGTGTATAATCCTGTTTTCTATGGACTCACATTTAAGGTGGGGGATGCAGAAAAAGAACGGACCTCTATGCCACGATTCGTAAAGCAAGCAGACTGATCCTTTCCAAGATGTTATGCTTGGGCGCGTACTGTTGCAAGTGACATTTCTCCGCAACCTATACCAAGATCGGGGGGCATAGACTGGAGCAAAAAACGAATATTGCGTGTGCGACTGTCCGACCCTCAACCACTGGAGGAAAGCCTTTCTGGTCGACAAATCAATTTGGGGGCGACCCTCAACCGAAGTGATCAATCCTCTTGGGAGTAGAAAAGCTTCGTCGGTATTGGACGACAACCAACGGTTCTCATGATCGGTATTCAGCGGAACACCAGTCGAGAAAAGGCGGATCGATTCTGCATGGCAACCGAACGGATCTCATGCTGTTCAGGGAAACACCGATCGAAAAGAAGGTGGAGGCAAAGAAGGTGGGAGCCCAGTTGTGGACCTTGTATATTTCAACTCCAAGAAGGGCGCGCGAACAAAGGGCAACACGCTGTCTTAGCCAAAACCTAGAATCACAAGATTCACGCGCGCTGCGACTGCACTAACCCCTTGGCCAATCACAACCGTCCCACTTACCATTCACAAATCATGTCCATCCTAAGACCCTTATCCTAAACCCTAGCCCAACATGTCACCCCCCAAAACTTAACCCTAAGTTTTAATCCTTACCTGGTAAGTCACAGGGGACGTCTTTCCCAGCACCAAGAATGTACTCAGGTTGACTAGGATGGCGATGGTACAGGACAATAAGATGACCGCCTGCCAAGATATACGCAATCGTTGAGACACGGGTGGCGGTGTCTTTTGCTTTTTTCCATTTTAAGAACCCCCTTGATTTGGGTTTCCATTTTAAAAATCCTTTTGTTCTTGTTAACTAGGCGCACAGTATAGTAGGTCTCTGAAAAGCATAGAGCGTCAGATACCACAGGGCAAGGCTCAGCATACACGTTGCCGTCAAACAATCGTTATATCTCACATATATGGCAGTATTTTAAATCATCTCTTCTTTACTATCTTCCCAAGTGATGCCTTAGTCGGTGTGCTGCTCAGCTTCGATTTGAAATTAGCAAGTGTATTCACCAACTCTGACTTGGGATTGATTACTGACTCTCTGGCTAGCGACTCATCAAGGTCCAGAGGGAGTAAGGGCTCGCTAGCACGGATAGAGGCAGACGCCTCGCTCTAGGGAGGTCACCGCAGGGTTAAAGACCCCTTGGGCAGGCAGTCCGAATGGATAAGGAGGCTTCCATCGCTTATCAGATTCAGGAGGTAAAGCTTGTACTTGAATCAGAGATCGGGGGTGTCTACGTAGTTGGATCGAGACTGGAGGCTGGACACTCTAGCAAGTTTTGGTCATCGTCGACCTTACAGTCTTGGTCCGGATTCGTTTAAGATACAAAACTTCCTCCGAAAAAGCGAGCCTAGACACCTAGAACTGCGTTCTGAACCCTCGCGCCCGGAAACCAGATTCGCAGGTCAGATTTGCGGTTCATGAAACCTGCATCTAGTTGCAGCGATTCGCAAAACCAGCAAGTTGAGCCCTGAAGACCCCTTGTCAGAGATCTTTTATTGTGTCAAGTGTCCGTGAAGAATAAGAAAAAATGAAAATGAAAACAAAAATGGAATAAAAAATATTGTATGAGCAGAAGGAAAGTTCCACGATCGGAGCCGACCCGGCGACCCAACCCGTTTTCACGGACGTATCTAGACTGCCAAAGACTTATACTTCAACGACAATTGTAGAATCAAAGGAGAAGCCGCTCTATCCCATCAAGTATTGGTCACTGGTCTCGCAATATGGAAAAGTTCCACGGTACGGGATCGCAGCCGATCCGCAGACTACAATAAGGAAAGCATCTCACGTGAGTGCAGATCCATTAGCCCCAGCTCTTGGGACTTGTCTAGATTGCCACAGAAACCTTACCTCAACGGTAGAGGGTGTGATGGGAGTAGAAGATCGACCTTTCCCATCATTGGGTCCAGTTCTGAAAATTGTATGGAGACTTCTACAGTCCGAAGTTTGCCGCCAACTTGCCAGATATCTTACCTCGACGGTGGTAGTGTAATCGAAGTAGAAGACGCTCTGTCCCGTCAAGTATTGGTCCAACATCGGCCCTGTCAATTGCAGCGCCCCCGCCATGATCGGGCTCGATTGGTACAACAACTGGGGGTCGGTCGGAAAAAAATGGGTGAGAAAGTGGTTAGGCAAACCCTGACCAGACTTCGTTAGTAAGCAGGAAAACGACGTTGTGCGCTTACAAAAGCCATGATCGGAATCGACGGGTACAAAGACTGGGGGTCAAGAAAGTGGTTGGACAAACCTTGACCACACTGAGTTTGCAACCTAGAGGAAAAATGGTGTGGGCTTCGAAGCCAGTTGCACCCATTGATGGTGATCCGCATGATGGAAGGGCGAACTAATATGGGGTAGGACATGGCCAGAACCTTGAGCAGACTCGATCTGTGAGTAGGAGAATCGATGTGAAATAAGGGCGAAGAAACTGGGCCTATATTCCCAGGTGATTGGGGCAAGCACAGTGAAGGGAGCGGCTACTAGGGATCCATAGGAGACCGGTAATCTGACTTGGCTTGTAACCTACGGCAAGGACCTGGACATGACCCCAAGGCAGGCGGCAGCTGACCGTTAACCTTCGGTGATTGAGGCGTGCGTGTCAGAGGGGGCGAAATATACGGTTCAGAGAAGTGGGTTAGTAAACGCTGGTCGGATTGGGTTTCTACCAAAAGTAGGGAAAAGACGATGTGGGCTCAGAAAAGGGACACCTGACCAATAACTGCGGTGATCGTGGCAAACACGTTTGTCACGAGAGCAGAATATGGCCGCCAGGGTACCACGTGGTTAGACGCCCTCTATAACGTGGCAAAGAAAGACAACGGCTGGTGCTCTTGAAAGCGCCATCCACGCAAATTAGCACTCCAAAGCCGTGCGCTGCTGCTTACATGCTCAGACGGTTGTCAATTTCGTCCACACGGAATGCACTTTAACAGCGCAAAGCCCGCGTCGATTTGTTAAGCTTACCCGAATGATCGACTTTGAGTAGACTATCCGGAACGCTGCTTCGCTCTGAGTACTTTGATCGCACGCGTCTTCAATTATATTCCAGATGATAAGCACAGAACTAGATAAGCACAGACCTATAACCCGTGTTGGCAAAGCTGGGTTACGGCACTTTGTCCTGGCGCTGCAGCGTGTTGATCACGATCTGGCCGAAACGGACGGTATCGAACCGGCCAGAACCGTGAAACCCCTAACCCCAAATCAGTAACCTCGATTGAAGAAACGTTGTGCTGGCGTTGCAAGGTGTTGGTCAAATTCTGCCCAAACCGAATACCATTTTGAACTTGTAACTAGAAACGGCATTTTCCCAACACCCAAAAACATCTAATCTAACCAACCCGGGTTGACGAGACTTTGTGCTGACGCTGCAGAGTGTTGGTCAAGATGTTACCAAAATGGAGGGAATCCCAGAACCGGCCAGAACCTTAGAACCAGACCTCGAATCCGAAAACACTAACCTGGGTCGACGACACTTTGTGCTGGCGCTGCAAGGTGTTGGTCAAGATCTGGCCGAAGCACGTGGTGATGATTGCCAAGATCGACAGGACGCTCCCCAGAAAGTTGAGCTCCAAGTCAGTCACGGTCGCGATCCCAACACCGAGGAGCAACAACGCAAGCGACAGCTGTACTTGACGGCTGCAGAAAGGAACATAACCGGGTTATCACAGAGTATTTAAAGGAATGATAAGGCTGGCAATCCAACAGGAGGCTCTTGAAAGGACACTCCCCCGAAAATAGGAGCTTCACATCAGGCACCGTCGCGATGCTGACGCCGAGACGTAGCACGGCAAGCGACAGCTGTAATTGGCGACTGCAGGAAAGGAGCGAAAGAGTCGGTGAGTCCAAAGTGCTGGAGTATCTGAACCTGAGTCCCAAATTGAAAACACCCTGAGAGGACGCTTCATCGACTCTTGAGCTCCACGTCAGTCACGGTTGCGATGTGACGTCGACGAGCAGCACCACGAGCAACAGCTGTCCCTGACAGCTGCAGAAACAGACGAACGGCAGTTAGCACAGACTACCTTGACACTCAAAAAGCATAATAAGGAGTCCCTGAAAGGACGCTCTCCAAACAAGTTGAGGTCATTCCGGTCACAGTTGCGATGGGGACGCCGAGAAGTAGCACAGCAGGCGACAGCTGTACTTGACGGCTGCAGATAACAAGGAAAGAGTCAGTGAGTCCACACTGATAAATCTGGAGAGCCTCACGCTCGGATGCTATCATACTTGAAAGGACGATCCTCAAAAAGTTTGAGCTCCACAGGTGCGATCCCGACACTAAGGAGCAGCACCGCAAGTGGCAACTGTACTTGGCGACTTAAGGTAAGGAAAAAGAGAGGGTTAAGTTTACGAGCCTGTGAAAGGTCAAAAGCCTGGCACTTTGATTTGGTGCACTTGCAAGTCGTTCTCTAGTAAGGTTAGCCCCATCATGGTCGCAACACTGACACGGATGAGTAGCACGGTAAGAAACTGCTCTACTTGACCGGGACAGACTCTTATTACCACTGAAAGCGAATTATCCCTGGAAATAGACGACGAGCAGCTCGAAAGTGAAGCTGTCCGGAAACCGGACATGCACCAACCGAATGTCAAACGAAGGCACCCTCGAATCCCCAATCTCTAAGCTTTCCAACCCGGAAGACCGTGATTCCAGGTCCCAAATTCTATCTCGACACAAAGAACCGTGAAAACGCTCGCGCAAAAGCTTCACGAAGTGTACGTTTTCGGTTCCTGATGCGAAAAGCAGCGAAGGGATAAGCGCTACCCCCAGAAGGTGCAAATCAAGTAGTGTCTAGCCCGATACGCCAACAATACAAGAGCTCGAAAGTGAAGCCGCATTTAAGTTTGATGGCAGGCCGACCGCAGGCAACAGCCATCCTTGAAGATTGCGCGGTGATTGGGAACGTTTCATGCAAAGTATGGGGGACCTTAAACGGAGCCCACCTGAAGTGCTTGCCGAAGAGGATCGTTTCGAAGAAGACCGTGAACGGGATGATCGCGAGCTTCGTCATCTAACGTCAGCAAGAACCGTGGGTCAGCTTTGCATTCATTAGCAGCTCATTAACGCAGAGGATAAATAAGCAGCAGGAGCTCCGAAAGGGATGTCGAGAAAGAATGGTGAAAATAGGAGATCCCTGCCAGCACACAAGAGACATTCTTCACTGGACTAAGTAGCCGCAAGACCGGAGTGAATGCGGTGTGACTAGAAAAGGGCAACAGACTGGAGTGCCTTTGGGGAGAAAGAAAAGTAGAGAAGCAAGGAAACAAACGAGGAGGCTGTGATGGTACACCCATGATCTTGGAACGACATGGAAAGAATTGGCTGTGTCCATAAGAATGAACATGGTAAGGACAAAAGGAGAACCTCTCAAATCAAGGAAGAAAGTTCTGAAGCGAGACTAGAGCATGCCTGAACTGAGAAAGAGAATTTTGAGAGAAGAACCTGATAAAGCCCAGAATTTGACCTCAAACTCGCTGCAGCAAGTATTAGTGGTATCTTTGCTCGGGAAAGAACAGATCTTTATCAGGAGAGTGGGCTCCGACAACTCTCTAATCAAGAAGGAGGACCCTGAAGCGAGACAGAAGCATACCTAAGTCGAGGAAACCAGTTTTAGAGCCGGGACTGGAGCCCACAAAGTCGAAGCCCAGACTCAGGTTCAGCAGACCGCTTTTCTAGTCAAAACGGAGTGTCAGAATGCACATGTGGACTCTGAAAGATTCTCGATTTGAAATTAGAGGATCTTGAAGCCAGGACTGGAGCGTACCTGATAAAAGCCGACGGAGTTGAAGCCGAGACTCAGATTCAGCAGACCGATGGAAGCCCCGTTCAGAATTCCAAAGTAGACCAACGGCTTGAATTCCATGGCCTTGTGCTCGAAGAAGCTGAAGTGGCGGGCGCAGTGCAGGAAGATAAAGGTGACAAACAGATGCCTGTAAGAAATGGGTTAAAGAGTAAGGGTTTATGGAGGGTTATGATTCCGTGGACGCAAACAAAGGCTTGCAGAGTTTCCGTTCACAGGGCCAGAGTCTTGGGTTGAAAGCTCCGTCTGATTATGTACCAGCGGGCACACTCAGGGAAGAAAAAGAAGACGGGAAAATGCCTGCGGAAGTGGGTTACGGAGGTAGGGTTATGGAGGGTTAAGCTGTCTTCAAGGCACGCAGAGGCATGCCGTAGATACCCTTTTTAATTGTCCTAGCATAGTCTCTGTTTGGTACAAGCTTGCATTTGAACTGGCAGGAAACAAACAGGTCAATGAAGGTCCCGAACAGATGTCTGTGGGGAGCGCAATCAGCATAGCAATTGTCTATCGAATGGGGTTCAGAGTGTCTTTTGTGTTAACTTTGCAGTTGACAGTCATAGCTCAGAGATTGTTCACTTTATGGACACGTTGCTTTGGGCTTTTTGAAGAAGTTCCGAGCTCCCAGAAATCTGAGAGAGACGGTGATGAGGTCTGCAGAGGGATGAACCAGTGTCTCGCTCCTAAGTTGCCGCAAGGTCTTTTATAACAAGATGGTTCTCTGAGTACGGGAGGGCATAATTTTGGGGGGGATTTTGATATTGGGTTTGTGCCATTAAAAGTAAGATCCTCCGTGTTGCTCCTGGTTGAACATGCATTAGCAGAAGGGCTTTCATTGCGACAAAGAGTGGCAGGCGGGATATCCGAACAAAGTGCTCTTGGATCAAAAGTCGGGGCGCTCAAACCTTCGTACACCAGGTGCGATCAGCAGCTAATCAGCTGCAAGCACGCCTGCTTATGGCGTTAAACGCAGGCCAACAACCTACTTCTAGAGACCTTCTCAAAATAGTCTACGCAAGCAAGTAAAGGCCAAAGAGTGTGTACAGGGAAGCGACTTACCAGGCAGTGAGGGTTGTGCCTGCAAAGAACGGTGCACAAGTCGTCAGTATCTAAGAATAACGGTGCACTTTTGCCAGTTTTGCAACTCAACAGTGCAGGATGTCACGCGATCGAAGAGGATGCAGGTAGATCGACGTGCAAAGGCCAAGACTCTTGCACATATGCAGGAAGAGATGTGAAACAAGCACTTGGACTGCTACCTGAAATCCGAACCTGCTCTCTGGGCAACTTGCATACCCACTTTCTGGAGCGGGGGCAGTGATCTATTTAGTGGTCCATTTTTAGAACTAAGGTAAGAGGCGTGCCGGCCCTGATGGCATTCAACACCAGTCTGATTGTCGACTGCAAAGCTTGCTGGAAATCCAACAGTTTCATAAAGGAACATCCGCACATAGGGAGACCAACAGACAACCGATCATTGAGGGGAAATCAAATCCTACCAGATCCTCAGTAGAAAGAGGCCCAGCGGTCAACACAGCTTTCATAGCCAATCCAATATCAAATCTCGGCACTTTTAACTGGTTCCCCCCTTGAAGGCTGGAGACTGAAACTCGTCACCTTCAACAAGGGTTTGATAAAGGCAGAGGAGGGGAATAAAAGGAGCCAAATTGGATTTGGAAAGGTCGTAAAGCCAGGTCCCAGCAAGGAGGGATAGCAGCCGTGAGAAAGAGAGGTACAACAGTCCAAGCGCAGGTGACACAATGTACTTGCGGCACTTGCGGAGACTAAAGAAAACGACAGTAGAAACATGTTTAAAAGTTTCTAGACGCCCTTTTCTGTCACTCTCAACCAGAACTTTTTGCCACTCAGCTGAAAGTTCAGATGAAAAGGGGGGGAAGCATAATACTGCAGGGGAGGTGACTTGAACGGAGATTAGCTTCCACATAGAAAGTTGACAGCAGCACCTGAGAAAGTGAGATGAGACGATTTGCCCAACAGAGAGGATGCTAAGACAACTTGGCAATGAAATGAAAACCTTGCCATAGAGAAGAAGCTACTTTTTACCATGACTACTGTCCCTAGGCAGATCTCACTTAATAGTACAATGGGGAATCCAAGATCAGAACTCAAGGGGGAGCCATTGGATGTATCGAGAAAGCAACAACCAGCATAAAAGATGCAGCTATGAAAGTCGAGGGACCTGCGTGGACGTTTCGTGGAGTTGACGGGCTCAAATCCGCAATGCTTAGAGCCGCGTAAGTTGAGTACATGGTCCTTGATGACAAAACATTGACAAGTGTTGGAGGGTTTCATTGGAAGCCAACTGTTGAGAGCATGCTGCTTCCATTAGATGGTCACTCTAAAGCAATGCGTAACCTCCTGGTTCCCCAATGCCATTCATCGCCGCAAATCCTGGTCGGTTGGCAACCAAAGATGCTAAAGCAAGAGGACTCTTGTATAAATGTTAAGCCCCCTTCTTCCTGGAGTGACGCATTGGAGGGTAGCTTACAACGGGGACTGCAAAAAGGAAGTTAAAACCAGCGGCATTCTAAGGCTCTGAAGGAACTACAGGGTATGTCAGTTGTCACTGCAGCATTGGGTTGCAGGTCACCGGTAGACAGTGCCGGCAGCAACACGCAATCACAGCACTTAAGTACAGCAATCAATGTACTTACACAAATTTGATAGGATTCAAAGTGTGCTTGATGACTGGTTGACCTAGCTGGCGTCCGCGGCATCCTTAAGTGTGCATAATGCGAAAAAAAAAAGGGGCGGTGAGATAAAAGCGAAATGCTGCCTCAAAGCACACGAGAACTTACGGAGGCAGAAATGCCCCTGAATGCTTCAATTCAGTCACATTCAGGAGATAACCTGGATTCCGTTGCCGTTTCTGGGGGCTCTGATCCTTCAGAAGAAGTGCAGTTTTACCAGAAGACTGAGCCTGGATAGGCACATTTTGAGCTATCAAGCTGAGTTTAGGTCCCAATCTGCACCCCTTGAAGGGATTGTAAAGAACCTCTTAAAATGTAGGGTTGAAATACAACGCAGACTCTGAGCCAAGGGATCCCTAATATGGGCCCGCAGAGGAAACAAGAGTCAAACATCCAAAAAGCACACTTACGAGTAAATATATCCTGGCGTAAGGAAGGTGATATAAGGATCACCAATGGGAAGGAGTCAGCAAGATCTTTTGACCAGTAACACCTTTGGATCACTTCAACATAAGAATCCAAACAAGTTATCCAAACGCAAGATGGATGTGCGCAAGAACTGGCATTGGAGAGAGAGGCGACCAATGGTCAACCACATAAGTCGTGAACACCTTCTCCCACTCTAAACAGGCGGGGATTAGTTCGCACTAAAAGCTGTCCATTCCCTGTTGGTCGAGGATGTGTCATACTCACCAAAGTTAAACTTCAGGCCAGACATGAGCTGCTTGTTACACAGGACGATGGACACCGATGACACGACCGATGATGTCAGTGCCCCGATGGTCGCCAGCTGGTCGGGGGAAAACATGGTTGCGGAAACTGCTGGCGAACGTCAATGCCTGGTTACTGCTATCTCCTTAACTGCTGATTGCACAAGAAACTTGCTTGTTACATCAGAACTTCTGAGGAGCACCGAACGCCCGTCCTGCAATGGCTCTTGTCCGAAATGCTTGGTTTAGCTGCTCATATCACAAGGGTATTCTAGTGACATTAGGACATTGGGAAGCAGCAAACGTATGTCCTGCAACGTACTCCTGTCCCCACAAAATGAAGAGCCGCCGCCTCTGCGAATGTGGGCCAGCTACCAACCGGTGGGTAGATCTATGCTTGATCTATGCTTCGGAGCACTAGGTTGCCTAATGCTCTCCCACACAACACCGGAATGGCGGCAATGCGACTGGTGTGAATCTTCAATCTGTCGCCTCCGTACACCGACAGAAAGCGAGATCCAACTCTAGAGTCCAAGACCATGGACTCCTCACCCTTGCTGACCCCTAAAATTACAGACAGCTGAAAAAGTGGAACTCGGAAGCCATCATCTTTCCTGCCAGAGATTTTAGGGGTCATCTCTCTCCGTGGAATGCGAATACGCTCAATAGCGTCTACTCGGGGGGTGTTAGATATAGGAAACACTTGCGGAGCGGCTTTTCACATGATTTTGAGCGATAAGCCCTAATTGATGCTGAGGTCATTTCCGCCCAGGATCTTGGGCGGAACGTGCGTCGGTCGACATGCACGCCCATCGGATACCGGCATGCCGATTTGGCAGCACGTTACGGTACCCAGCAGGTATACCGGACCCCGGTTGCCAGTACCGGTACTCCCTTTTACCGGTACCAGCATATCAAATTACCTGTACCAAATGAGACCGAGATTGAGAACCCGAGGGGGTTTGCATCCTCCCCCGGGGCGGGGGATCGGAAGTCGGAGCCTGAAGTGAGTCACCCGACAGGCTGGCTTCCGGTCGGTCCGGTGGCTCTGTTTCCGTTAAATGCATTCCGTTAAAGTGACAGCGGAAGGCCCTGATGCAGGATTCGAGCTTGGAACTTGTTGTCGTCATCATTGACAATGACATTGTTGAAGCAGGTTCAACTATGCTGTCCCGGCTCTTCACGGGAAAATAAAAACCACCAAGAGGGTTCCTTGACACCAAGACGGACCAAGTCGGAACAGAGATTGTATAAGAGGTCTCTGACGTCACTAACCATAGGGTCCGGAAAATTATAAAAGACGTCACTTTAGAATTGACTAGAATACTCGATACTTTTCCCGCTTATACCTTAGAACTTTCCTGATTTAACCAGAAGGCTAAGGACGGTTGTAGATTAGAAGTGGACCTTCGTACCAGGCTCCGTGAGGCATTCGAGCACACCGAGTCACGACACCGGCCTCAGTTTTTCGGAGTATAAAAGCGAGCCGATCCAACTTTGTTTCCTCACTTCCAGTTTTTCTTTTCGGGATTTCTAGTGGCAGAAGGCGGCGCCCAGGGTCGACGGGCACGGTCAAGGAGGTGACGTCAGCAGCTTGCTGACGTAATATTTGGAATTAGACATCGTGTTACTATGTTCAACTTCAACGTCATGAGTTGGCGCTCAATTGCAATCAGCGTTTACGGTTTTAGTCTGTGCATGGGTGCGCCTCTCATCGTGGATTGTTGATTGGCTCCGCCTGTGAGGCGACACGGTGAGCAGGCTTTAACCTTCGGAAATTTAGGCACCAATTACAGTTTGCAATGTTGCGCCATCTGCTTTCTGGGGCAAGGGCTCTGGGCCCGCCCCTGATCCAGGCGCAGGGCATGGTGGAGAACGGGTTGTTGGCAGTTGGAGGGAGCCAAGTCAGCCAGAAGCGATTCCTGAATGTGCATGAGTATCAGGTGAGCTGGGCTGGGCTGAAACAACCAAGAATGAAATGTATTGTTTGGCAATTGATTGGTCTCAGTTCCGCTAGTCTGGTGTCATGAATCGGAAAAAGGGAGAATTCACTTGCACACAATCGGCGTCCTTCTGCACTGGGGTTTATTGCAGCACAATTTTTTGCAAGGTGGCTTTTGGGTGAGCAGATATACCTTTTCGACTGAGGAATGTGGCAAATTTATCATCTTTGGAACGTCTGATCTGACAGTTGTTCCCTCGTCAGAATTGAAAGTATCGGGTCGAGTTGCCACTGGAAAAACACCGAGTGTAGCACAGCTCTTTGAAAGTTGGTGTCTGAGATTCTGTTATTCTCATGCCTGCGCTGATCCATTCGCCTTCCGTGTGACATATCATTTCTGCGGGGTGACAAGAGACAATTCCTCTTGTTGCCGATATACTTTGTGTTAGACAATCAATCGTGTATTCTTTTGAAACTAGCTCCCCTTGCTTCATGTATCCTGACATTCTGCCGATGCATCTATTACTAGAAAAGTACAGACTTGGTCCTGCCGCAAAGGGAATCAACTGCTTATTGCAACACACAACTTTTTGCTTTCAGGATGTGGACTTTTCTTCTAGTCGCTGCTGCCACTCTGCATGTTCTGAGATCAGCGTTGGAATAAGGATTCTAGCTGTAGAAATTCAAACAGCATTGGGATTGCTGGGGCCTTTCATGCAGCATGTCCCTTGTCAGCACAGGCAGCTTGCGGCTTCAAAGCGGGGTCGTTGGTTGTCCAACTATAGATACTTCAGTTGCCAGCTGATTGTGCCTGCGATCTGTGTGTCACCTTGATAGGCTGATTGCGCGGTCCGCAACCACTTTGCCCCACCCCTTTTCCCCCTCCTTGTGCACTTTGTGTTTCCGTAGTCGCTCAGGCACCCTCCGTTTGAAACTGATTGAGAACCAAAAGTTCTGTGTCTCTGATCTCTTGCAGGGCGTCAATCTGATGGCAAAAGTTGGGCGTCAGTGTTCCAGAACACCCCGTAGCCAAGCAACTCTCAGGACCAAAATGCATTGCCAGTCCTCAAATCAGGCGCACTTGATGAACATTTGTTACTAGTCCAAGCTTTGTCTGCTGAGCAATGTTGTGTCCTAACCCCTTGCAGGGTGCCGATCTTATGGGGGAGGTTGGCATCAAAGTCCCGAAGGAAACTGTCACATCTACTCGACGAGGTTGTCTCCGCGGTCAAGCAACTCCTCAGGACAGTAATGCAACGGCAATCCTCGAATCAGGCGCACTTGATCAACAATTGGTACAAGTCAAAGCTTTGTCTCTTCAGATGCCGACTCTTCATTCCTTGCAGGGTGCCGATCTGATGGGGGAGTTTGGCGTCAATGCGCGAAAGGAACCGTAAAGTCTACTCTCGACGAGGTTGTCTCCGCGGCCAAGCATCTCCTCAGGACTCTCCTCGAATCAGGCACACTTGACCAACAATTGGTACTAGTCAAAACTGTGTCTGCTAAGCTTTGTCGTCTCTTCATCCCTTGCAGGGTGCCGATCTGATGGCTAAGTTCAGCATCAACGTCCTGAAAGGAACCGGCGCATCCGCTCTGGACGAAGTCGACTTTGCAGCCAAACAACTTCTTGAAACAAAACTTCATAGCGTCAGTTCTCAAATCAGGCGCACTTTGATCGATAGTGATTGTTAAACTACGCTTCATTCGATTCTGCGCAGGGCGCGGATCTAATAGCGAAGTTTGGCATCAACGTCCCGAAAGGAATCGTGGCATTCACGCCAGATGAGGTTGACTCTGCGTTAAAGCAACTTCCTAGAAAAGAACATCCAAGCGTCAGTTCTCAAATCAGGCGCACTTTGAGAAAGATTGTTAATCTGCGCTTCGTTCGATTTTGCGCAGGGTGCGGATCTGATGGCGAAGTTCGGCATCAACGTCCCGAAAGGAATTGTAGCATCTACTCTCGACGAGGTCGACTCCGCAGCCAAAGAACTTCCTGGGTCCGAAGTCGTTGTTAAGTCGCAGGTGCTCGCAGGAGGGCGCGGGCTAGGGACGTTCAAGAATGGGTTCAAGGGGGGGGTGCACATTGTCAAGAAGGAGGAGGCGCGCAGCATTGCAGGTAAGGGCAGCATATGTAATCCTACGGGTTGTAGACGAAGAGAGTGTGTAAGCCAGTGTCATCGAAGCATCCTTCTTTCTGGATCACCTATGATCAAGAGATTGCTTTTTGCTTTCCACTACGGGAGATCTTTGAACCTGCCTGCAGTGCGACTGGCTTTGCAGTACAGATAAAAGCCGCATGGCGAACAGGTTACAGTCTTCTAGCTGGCGATTGCTTCGGAGTTTGTTAACATAGCCTTGATTGAGTTATCACTCTTATAATTATAATTCGGTTGGTTTCCTGTAGTCCCAACTTGTACCAATTGTCTGCTTGGGCAGACTTTTGCCCAATATTTAATTTCGTGTGCTATGGGATTTGGGCAGGTTTGTTTACGAATTTATTTTCATATGTTACGGGGCAGCATGATCTGCAAATCTGAAATTAGAGTTTATTCTGCAATCAAATTTCTGGGCAAGTCAAAGAATTTTTATAATTGTTGCCCCACCGGACAATTGGTACCAAATTTTGTGAAACCAAGAAAAGCCGCATCTTCAATCTCTGCTTACCAAGCACACAGGCGTGCAGGAGTCGTCTCCTGACTTTTGCGTGTGGTCATTTCTGGCTAACCCAACCTTGTCCGTTGAGTTAGGAAAGGAAACCCTGGGTTAGAAGCTCGTTACTTAGCAAACCGGCGCCCAGGGAACACTGGTCAGCAAAATGAAGTTTCAAGTAACGCCCTCTGGTTACTAACTTCTGCCTAAACCCACAACCTGCCATTGGATCTGCAGAGAAGATGCTGGGTCAGACGCTGGTTACGAAGCAAACCGGCGCTCAAGGAAAGCCGGTCAACAAGCTGTTTATCTGCGAAAAGCTGTCCCTCGTGAACGAGATGTACTTTGCGATCGCGCTCGACAGGAAGGCGGCTGGCCCCGTAAGTAGCGAGATTCTGGGTCTCCTCCCTTCTTATCGACTTTTTGAGGTACCTTCTTGGACCTGCCAGCATTCACACAGGAAGCGTTTCAGGTTGATTCGCCTGTTTTCTTGTGTTCAGTACGTTGCCATACCCCGAGATGTTCGTACAAATCAGGAAGATGAAAGCATTTTACTCCTTTCCTGAGCAGTGCTCGCAGTTTAGAACGTACCAGCATCTGCAGCTTACAAGTGGTATGAGTCTCTAGAGCAGGTTTCGACGGTATTTTCCGCTCTTTAATACCGCAAAAAAGCACCCCGATGTCATCATTGTATGGATGTCATTCAGAGCAGGCACTGTTTTGACAGACACTATTCGGACAGCGCAGAGGCCTACAAATTCGTATCCTAGATTTGGTGCAGCTTACGTGCATGTCTTTATCGTTTGCAGCCGACGAGGTGCAAGCACAAAGAAGCACCCTGACTACAATCTGGGTGACGTTTGCATCAACACACGACTGCACGTACCCCGAACTTCGAAAGCCCGTTCAAAACCCAAAAGCATCTGGTTGAGTTCTGACTTAAATTGTCCACCGCCCCATACCTGACTGAGGAAACCGAAACCTGACGACCTTTACTCTTAACCACGAGGGTGCACTCCCGCCTGCCGCCGGGGTGGGACCAGCATTAAAAACTCGGCGGAGAAGCACCCTGACCTCAACATCCGGGTGAATGTCGACCTTAACAAACGTACTGCTCGAAAGAGAAACTTCAAGCCCCGAAATCTGAAGGTCGATAACCAGGAAATGTTTGAAAAGTCTTTTCTTTCTCGCCAGGTGATTATTGCCTGCAGCCGAGGCGGAACCAGCATCGAAGACTTGGCAGAGAAGCACCCTGACCTCATCATCCGGGTGAATGTCGACATCAACGAGGGCATCACCGACGCGCAGGCCGGCGAGGTGGTGGACGGGTTGCAGCTGAAAGTGACGGACAAGGAATCTGCCAAGGAGCAGATCAAGAAGCTTTACAAAATGTTTTCGGAGGCTGACACCACGCTCGTTGAGGTGGGCTTGCGTTTACCGAATCTGAACTGTTGTGTCAAAGACAGATCTGAAGATGTAGTTTTGGATGACGGACAAGGAGTCGGCCAAGGAGCAGATCAAAAAGCTGTACAAAATGTTCTCGGAAGCTGACACCACGCTCGTTGAGGTGAGCTAGCTAATCTTGACCTTGGTTACTGTTTCAACAGGAAACTAGGAGTTCCCTTGTTCTTCTGAGATTACGCCTCTCTTAAAGTGCTCCATACGGAATCGCCAAGGAGCACAGTTAGAAGCTGCACAGAAAATTATCGGACGCTGACACCCCGCTCGTCGAGGTGGGCAGCTTAAGCTTGGCCTGAAGTAATGTTCTGGTTTTGCGGCTTCCTCCTTTAACTGTGACGGACCAAGGAACCGCCTGAAAGCAGATTGAGAAGCTGTACGAAACGTTTTTGAAGGGTAACATCCGGCTTCTTGAGGTGGGCTAGGTTACTGGCCCTTACGTAGTGTCTCAAAACCATTCTGATACTTCGGATTCCCTGGCGACGAACAAACGATCCGCCTCAAGAGCAGATTGAGATGCTTTTCGAAATAGCCTCGGAGATTAAAGCGATTCTCTTTGAGATACGCTGGCGAACATCGGACCCAAAGAACTGTGTCAGAATGGTCATGAAGGTGCGTTTCTGAATGTCAAACAAGGAGTCCGCCGAGGGCCAGATTGAGGCAAGGAAACGCAGAAACATAAGCAGCGAGCGAATCAGATTCTAATGCAGAAACTTGGTTCGTGCGGATTGAGTCGAAGACAGAAGGAGGAGCCAGAATAATTGAGGCGTCTATGGTTCTGGAGCGTGTCAAATCCGAAACGGATCACGAGAGCAAACGCGTGGTTTAGGACTGAAAGAGGAGAAGCACAAGGAAGTCTCTTCGGATTACTTGTTTAAAGGAGAGCCTGCAAGCAAAGGGAAGAGTGCAACTTATGGAAACTTTTGGTATTTATGAAGAGCAAATTTTGCAGGTGAACCCGTTGGCAGAGGCGGAGGAGGGCAAGATGGTTGCGGCAGATGCGAAGCTCAACTTCGACGACAACGCTGCGTATCGGCAGAAGGAGATCTTTGCGTGGCGGGACAAGTCGCAGGAGGACCCCCGGGAGGTAAGGATTGATCACCTCGTTTCCTTCTGTTCTCGTTGTGGAAGGTGTCAAAAAGCAGTGGGTTCGGAAGTGGATGGTCTTCGATCGGCTGGCGGAAGGGAAACTTCGCGTGGCGGGACAAGTCGCAGAAGGACCCCCGAGAAGTAAGAGACGCTGCAGGGACTCGGATTCTTTCCCGTCTTGCTTTCTTTTGTTCTTTTAATCGTTTGGTTCTCATATACCTGCTGGGGGACGCTCGAAGTAGTATGCGGGCGAGAAGCATTCTCCATTTGGCAGAGGAGGTCACTGTGTGGCGGGACAAGTCGTAGGAGGACCCCCGAGAGGTGAGAGACATCGCAGTCCCGCTGTTTTTTAACGTTCTGGTCTCTTTTATTTTTCAAGAAGCTGGTTCCTTATCCTTTCGCTTATGAGCGCCTTTATGTGGTATGCGGCCGGAGAGTGTCCCGGTTTGGCCAGCAGAAGGAGATTTTGCTGTAGCGAGACACGTCGCAGGAAATTTCCGCGAGGTAAGAGACGCTGCAGTCCCTCGTTTGCTTCAATCGCCTTCTTCCCTTTTCATTCCGCTTGCGAATCGCTTAAGCTTTAGTGAGCCTTAGGCACGCCTTAATTACGTCTTAAGGCTCAAGCGCATTATCTTGGCAAGTAGGTTTTGGTGTGCTCGTGTAGTAAGCTGCGCTGTTTTCTCAGCGTTGTCATGCGTGCTGTTACGTGGATCAGGGCCCACGCTTCTTCGCCCAAGTCTGAAGTCGCATCTTGGATCAAACTCTCTGCTCATGAGATTCGATGGCACTTGCTTGTGCTCAGCATGCAGACCTGCTGCGTGTGGTCCAATGTGTTCTTGGGGGAGGACTTCCATTGAATCATTGATCCATTGTTTCATTGAATCATTCTTTTGTTCTAATTCTTGTCTTACGGTCAAAGGATGCCTGAGAAACCGTCGGTCTACAGAGGATTGAAGAGATTACTTCTGCTTTTGCCGATTATGGCGGAGGCCGATCCAACTCTGCACCACCCTCGATGTCCATTCAGGCGCATGGAACCTTCAGAGGTTTCCGTGGAGAGAGTCGGACAGACAAAGAGGCCGTACTAAAATCAGGTCAAACACGTCTAACCAGATGCGCTTGACAGCTGGCGGCTGCTGAAGCCGACCTGAAGTACATCTTGAGTGCAACATCGGGTGCATTGTAACCCACAAAGAACCCGTGGAAAAAAAAGGTACAGAGAGGCCGAAGCGACTTCACTGGGTTCGATCTACATGCATGCGCTTGACAGGTGGCGGCCGTTGAGACTGACCTGAACCACATCAATCTCGACGGCAGCATCGCGTGCATCGTAACCCACAAAGAATCCGTGGAAACGTCAAGAGAACAGAGAGGCTGAAGCGAAATAGGGGGTCAAGCACTGGGTTTAACGCTAACTATGCGAGCTTCCTTGACAGGTGGCAGCTGCTGAAGCGGACCTGAACCACATCCGTCTTGACGGCAACATCAGGTGCATGATAACCCTCAGAGAACTTTCTGCGGAGAAGTCAACATGACGAGGAATGCCGGATCAAGATCATTTCTTTCAACCATCGGAAAAGGCAAGGAGAAAAGAGAAGTAACATTCAACGTGGTTTTGACAGGTGGCGGCTGCTGAAGCGGACCTGAACTACATCGGTCTCGACGGCAACATCGGGTGCATGGTGAATGGCGCTGGGTTGGCCATGGCGACAATGGACATTATCAAGATGCACGGTGGAGAGCCTGCCAACTTCCTTGACGTCGGCGGGAACGCCAGCGAGGAGCAGGTGAGTGACGTCATCAAGAGTCGCAATTCGAGTTGACTCCGTCAAGAGCCCTGTTTTGGTCCCGACCAGCTGAGTTGAGGCTGTTGTCTGCTGGAAGCCTTCTCTGGGAATCTGCCAAAATGCGGGAGGAAACCGCGCCGACTTCTCAGCCCTTGGCCGAATTGCGCCGAGGGTGGGTGATGTCACCAAGAGTCGTGCTCCAGGTCGACCAGCGATTTAACGGTTTTGTATGTCAGAAAGTTTGTTGAGGACTTCACCAAAATGCACGGGCAATAAGCCTGCCAACTTCCTTGACGTCGACGGAAATGCGGCGAGGGGCCGGTGGATGACGTCATCAAGAGTGGTACGCTGAATGGACCTGCTCATTATTAGCATTCGGCTGTTCTGAAATATTTATCGGGAGACGCAAGGGGGCAAGTGTGCAAGTTTGTAGATGTCGGCGGGAAAGCCAGCAAGGGTTAGGTAGGTGACGTCATCACGAGTCATCCTCTACCTAAATAAGCAATCCGCAGTGTTTGACCGCTGAATACATGTGGCCAGAGGCATGCAGGGAAACCCCAACTTTGTAGACGTCGACAGAAAAGCGAGCAAAAGTTTGGTGGGGCTGCCGACTCTCTTTGAAGGGACAGGAGACCGATGGGAGATGCTTTGTCTTTCTGTTAGAGCTGCTTATTTGGAGGAGAATTCTGCACAACAATTCCGGTGAGGTGAGTTCGCCAGTGGCCTTAAGTTGCGACGTCTTTGACACGTGGCTAGCTGAGACGTGGTGGCACCCCGCAGGTCGTCCAAGCGTTCAAGATCCTGACGGCGGACTCCAAAGTGAAGGCACTCCTGGTAAACATCTTTGGCGGCATCATGAAGTGTGACGTTATTGCGAGCGGGATCGTCAAGGCAGCGCAGGAGGTAAAGTTAACTACTTACCCCCCCTCCGCCCCTCCCCCCCCCGCCCTCCCCTCTGATATTCCTTAGAGGCAAACTGCCGAAGGTATGTTCTTCCAAAATTGTAAAAGGCAAAGACTGTTTGTTTTACTGTCGAGACAAGCCACGCTTTGAGTATTTTTTAAAAGTGTCATCTGCCCAGAACCTTTTCTTGGACGACTTTGTGGCTTTACTGCTGTTGTGGTTCTTGACGGGGCTGAAACCTTAAGCAGGGCGGAATGTGGCAGTGTTTCTGAGAGCTCCTTCCTGTTCAACCTGGTTACAAACAAGGTTCAGCGCAGTGACGTGTGCACCGTGCCCTAATTTCACTATTCTGATACAAGACCATTTTGACTCACTGCTTTCCCATTGCTGAAATTAGAAGCGTTCGTTGTTGGCGCTCATACGTTGAGCTTAAGGGCACTTTCAAGACAGAGGCAAGTACACGTATGCTGTTTTTGTTTGATCGTCGCTCATCGAGGAATTTGATGCATAGCGGGTGGCACTTGACCAGATATAGAAGACTGCCTACTTGAGAGTGCATAGTAATGCACATGCGCACCGCTGAATGAGGTTTAGTCTGAGCACTCTGCTTCACTTGAGAGTAACCGACTGCAACTCAACCTTGACCTTATGACGCAGAGGTGCTCAACCCGACCTCAATCGAAACCTGTATTTGATTTGGCTGAGCTCTGATATGCACAAAGAGCATTTCAAGGTGGATCTGCTCAAAGGTGCCTGAGTACGTCGAGCTGCGCAGCCTTTGAGATACTATCGGTCTTGACTATTAAACGTCGATTAAAGCCTTAGCCAACCCGTAACCTAGAAGTGATTCTCTCTGTATCAACAGGTACAATTGAAGGTGCCGTTGATTGTGCGTTTGGAGGGGACAAACGTGGCCCTCGGCAAGAAGATCCTGAAGGTGGGTCAAGCCTACCCTCTTTGAATTGTTATTTCTGTAAATGGTGACAAATTCAGGTTGAGATGGTTTCTACGACTCTGAACAAGAAGACCTTTTTGGCGGGCGAAGGCTTAGTATTTAGAGGTTTTTCAACCCGGAATCGGGACCCGAATTTCGTGAGCCTGAGTGTCTCCATTTGGGTCGGACCAAGTAGGTCTTGGAATCTTTTAGGTCTCTATAGTAGAAAAGGTACTCCAATACACCAGCCCAAATGAACCTAGTTCTGCCCTAGGCGGGGAGAGCTTGAAAATGGGCAAAGCCGTTGCTCTTCCCGGAACAATTCTCTGTTTCTAGGCTCGATGTCCTTATTTGGCTCTGGTCAAGGAAATCTTAAAGGCGGGCAGCACTGGCTGAGTTCCTAAAGTTCGAAGTCAAGGAACAAAGCTTTTAGCTCGAGTGCCTCAAAGCTGGGGCGAATAGGGAAATTGTAGACTGAATTTCCGGTCCCTCAGGTTTCTGGCTTTTGCCTGGAAAGGAATTATCTCGAAGGTGACGAGTTTATATCGATAAAGGTCGGCCTCGTTCCGGTCTCGACATCGTCTCGACCAACTTCTTTGCTTGGCTTACTTCGCTTCTCGTCAAGTTTCCTTTATTGCGGTTGCTAGGATCTTCACTTGCGTCCTCTTCTGGTTCCTTCTTGTTACTTCTGCTTCGCCGGGTCTAAAGCTCGTTGCAATCGGGGCACCATTTTGTCGGAGCCTCTAGTTCTGACGCTCACTCTCAACGGACGTTTGCGATGGCTATGTCGCACAGCCTGTGGATGTGATCGAAGCTCACAAAGCGCCGTTCGGCACTCCTCAAGTTCAATTTACTAGGACGCTGCATCAAGCTAACTTTCTCAATCGTCTCAAGTTGGGTTGTGGTCGAGACAACATGATCGCACGTTATGATATTTCGTTCTATCGTCTCTTCGACGCTCGAGCCTGGGAACTCAAGGATTGAGTCGGACATCTTGTGCACCCACAGCAATCGCTCACACGTGCCCTCTGTCTCTTAAATGCAAATTGGGATGATTTGTCTAATCCAAACATCAAATGAAGTTCTGGAGTCAAGAATTCAGTCGGACCTTTTGTGCACCCAGATGCGACCGCTCACACGTGCTCTCTGTCTCTTATCCGCAGGAAAGCAAGATGAATATCATTGCGGCGGATGACTTGGACGATGCTGCTGGGAAGGCTGTGAAGTCTCTCTCTTCTTAGGTACATACGTGATGGACAAGTACTGGCTCACATATGACACTTCGTTGATAGTCCAGAAAGCAAGCGAAATTGTGCATGTAAGTACTTTCGACACAATCACTTCATCACAATTCCAACGCGCGTCCACGGCATTCGGCGGCTTTTAAGTACGACAGGTGGGCGGCCTGTAAATGTGTGCGGCCATATCATGCAGAAGCTGCACGCTTCTTGATTTGCTTCCAAGGCTTTTGAAGTTCAGCTCTGGCGATCAATATGTTCTGATTCTGGACGGCCGCCACATGCACGTCATTACAGTCCAACTCTTAGCATGGCATTACGGTGACTTGTGACTGGTACCAAAACCCGAAGCTGGCAGGCTTGCCTGGCAAGGCTGACCGGGCACTTTTCACGTGCAATGTTTGTTAGTCAAGGTTGAATTCTAAGGCTGGCGATTCGATGAGTCTGCGGTCGGTTGATTCTGGACTCATGCAGTTCGCATGACTGCGCGGTTGCCGCCCATTCGTGGCCAGGCGCATGCAATGTGCGGGCCAGCAGCCGCCCGGCCCTTATATGTTGCATGGTCGAATATCACCGTCCGACGTGCATGGCATCCATCATGACTTAAGTCGCCTCCGGGGCGGCCGCCCAGCCGGCCGGCCACGGCAGTCCAGTGAGTTGCCATCCAGATAATTCAATGATTGCTGGAATAGCTGTAATAGCTGGAATAGCGATCCACTAGATGGCGCGGTAGCTATATATCGCTGAGGCTAGTGGCGGCAGCGCCGAGCGCGGCGCCTATAGCTGCGCAGTGCGGGCCTACTGAGCTTCTCACTATAGCCATAAACATACATGTAACATCATGCATGGCATGCCAGACGGCCGCCTGCGCAGGCTGTGCAAATCTCCGGCCAATGGTCCGCGGGCCGGTGCCCGGCAGGCGCAGCCTCACTAATCCACACAATGCGTCAACCGTAGTGAGAGACTTGATTAGTATCGGGTTGCGAGGATCAGTGTCTATGAATGGATGCATGGCGTGCATCGCGCCGCCAAAAGATTGTTTTCGAAGTTTGTGTTTCCGACACAACAGTGACGCCCAGTTACAGTTGCTGGCAAGCTCACCCGCACTATAATGGCCAATGGACCTTTGTGTGCTGCAAGGTGATTGAGATATGGGTATTCAACATTAGGGCCTAGATGGCGCGCCGGCATTATCAATGGGCACTTGATGTAATCGCGCCGGCGCACTCCGGAAATCACGGCCTGCATGCAAGCCACGGGCAATACGAGTCTGTTCAAGCGCTCCTTGACACGATCGGGCGATCGCCAAGACTGTATTAAAGCTGATTCACTAACATACGTTTGCTGCTGAAAGACTGTAGTCAGGCCCAGGGACACAAATCGAGTAGCTTCCCACCATTATATAATTACAAGGACTCCGTCTCCATTGCATTATGAAGTTAAGTTACTAACCATGATTCCTTGCGAACCGACAGATCGTGTTGTGCAAGCAGGATAAAAGACTAGAGCGGCCATAGAAGGTTAGCTTTGTTGCTGTGCCCATCGCAAAAAGAGTTCAACTTAAATCGGCTTAGTACGTCGAGGATTGGTTCTATCTCAACGTAGACTCAGCCACGTGCAAAACTTTGGCCTCCTGGCCGACCAGTGTCTGTGGCAACAAAATTGTTTCAACTGAACACTCTACTTCCCTAATTGTCGCCACAGAGAGTTAAAATCATGATAGTTCCAAGATACTTTCGTCACACGTAGCATCATGATAGAAAGCCATACATCTTTAAAACCGCTTCGAGGTAGACGAGACTAGTGACGACGAGAAGAACCCAACTGATGAGCACTGGGCGTTCAGATCCACCAGGGATCAGTCTCGCCGTTACGAAAGTCGGCTTCGTTCCAGTCGTCCAGGATAACTTTTCCGTCGTCGATCTTGACGTGGACCAACGCCAGATTCTGCGAGAGACGAGAGAGAAAAGTCAGTCACTGAAACCTCTTAATATTTACTGGTTTTATCAGCCCTTTACTATCTTTAGCTCTTGCCAATTCATTGAGCGACTTATGTCGGCATCCGTCTAGAGCTATTCCAACGTGAAAGTGCAGAGAATAATCGGTGAACCTTCTTCGTCTTCAGCTGTTTACTGTTTCTAGCTGTACCCCAACCTATCGACCAAATAGCTCGGGAGTTCGTCTAGAATCATTTCGGACACACGGATGTGCAGACACGCATAAAGTCTGGATTCTGACCGTCACCTGACCATTTGCTTATATTTTATCGGACAGACACGATTCTAGAGCGACATACTAGAATCGTGTGCGTACAAGAAGCCACATTCTGTAGCCCATTCCACAACTTCACCTCTTCACCTTTTGCTGCGATACCGTGATAAAAACACGCATCCTCGATCTCGTCTGCCCTCCTCTAACTAACGAGTAGCGCTCCAACCAGAATCGCCCACAATTTATGTTTGACGCCGGACGATAAGTCACTCCTTACTTACTTACCTCAGAAGCCGGACCTTCATATGACGACTCCGCCGCGCAACCCGTGATTAGCGCTCTCTATCCTTCCTTTCGCTCCTTGCAGCTACGAAAAGCGTCCAAACGCATTCCGACGTCGAATTATGCTGACCAGAATTCTTCGATTACACGGCTTTCGAGCATTCGACACGTACCTCAGGAGCGGGCCCTTCCACGACTTCCCCGCGCGCTTTGTAATGGGACCCGTGACAGGGACATTCGAACTTCCCCTCCCCAAACAGAGGGTAGCGCTCCAGACAAAATCGCCCACAGAGCTTTCTTACGTCAAACGATAAATTGTTCCTCAAGTACTTACCTCAGGAGCGGGACCTTCCACGACTTCGCCGCGCGCATTGTACTGCGACCCGACGTGACAGGGGCACTCAAAATTCCCGTCCCCATTTTGAGGTAGCGCTCCAAACAACAGACGCCCACAGAGATTTATGACGTCGAAACGATACACTCATTCCTGAACTCTTACCTCAGGAGCCGGCCCTTCCACGACTTCGCCTCGCGCGTTGTACTGCGAACCGTGACAGGGGCACTCAAACTTCCCGTCACCGGCAACCCAGTCCGGGGTGCAACCCATGTGGGTGCAAACCGCGCGCAGTGCGAAGTCTGACACTTTGCCGTCGTCTACGAGAAGGTATGTCGGGTTATTCTGCACAAAGAGAAGATCGTTTCGGTTCAGGTTAACCTGCTATAAGGGTTTCACACTCTGGAGCAGGGTTTCGTAAAGTTTAGGATCGTCTGCACACCATGAAAAACGCTTGCGGATCATTTAGAGTTTATGTGAAGCCGGTTTGGGTTGATTGTTCCCAGTGGTACGAGTCTGCGATTTGCCCTCGTCTACAAAACGGAAAAGTTGGGTGGGTTATTCTGCTCACATAGAAGAGGTTTCCTGTGCAGCTTCACTTGATGTAAGTGTTTCACAACTTGGAGCACCGTTTCGTGAAGCGTAGGACCGCTCGAAGAGCAGGATTGCCGATCCTCCTTCTTCTACGAGAAGGTGCACTTGAAATTTATTGCACATGAAGAGGACGTTTCTGTGCAGAACGATCACTCGGGGTTCCAATCTTCGATACACGGTTTCGTGATGCTTGAGATCCGCTCGAAGAGAAAATCCGCCGACCTCAGTCGACTACGAGAAGGTACGCCGGACTGTGCGTACTCTGAACGACAATAGAGAATAGAAACTCTGAGATTACTACTCAATAGTAATTGTGTAAGATTATCGTCTCCGTCTTGAGAGCTTGGGGGTCTTTTTAGCCAATGAGAAGATTCAAAACGGGTGCAAACCGCTCGATCCGTTCAGTATGCTTAACCGATTTGTCGGTTTTTAAAGCACGTACAGCGTGTCTGGAACCGCGCGATGTGCGCGTCGAACAAAAGGCAAACGTTTTCTGCGTTCTCAACGGACGCGTTTTGGGACGGGTCAGGCGGCCTGAAGTCATGGTCGGCACTTGAGAAACCCTGTCTCTCTCAGACCCTTGTTGTCTTTCCGCTTGGACGTCACATCCAAATGATACAACCCAGTTTGGGGCGACTCGAAAGCAGCAAATGGCAGGTCACACGTCGCCAAAAAGAAATCCTACGCCTGCTCCTATCGAGGGAAAAAGATTAACCTACTATCGTCTGCGGCAGAACTTACGACTTACGTCGATCCCTCGGACCAAGATGCGGTCCAGCGAAGCCGCCTTCTGAAGAACGTCAGCAATGACGACCGGTTTGCCCGTGACTTCGTCCACGGCAAATGTCTCCGCCAAAGCAGCGCCGGTCCTGCATCGAGTAAAAGGCACGCATGCTCTTGCTGGTTCTGGACTCTGCGAGGTTCTGGATTCATGATGTGCACGTGTTTCTCAGCGCCTTGTTGAAACCCGATAACCACAGTCGAAACCCATGTTAGTTAGCTAGCACGCTCGGCCACAGGTACTAGCTAGCTGCCATTTCACGACGTGCGCCAGCTAGCTAGCATTACTGGTCGGATTGTGATATCAACGTTGATCAAATCCGGATTCCGGTGTTAACAACGTTAATCAAACCCGGATTGCGGCCCTGAAAAAAGTTGAGGAACTGCGCGGGAATGCATGGGACCGCTTTCGTTACCAGGGGGTTAGCGTAACCGCCGCGGCTGCCGCAGCGGATCCCGCCAAGAACTCCCTCTTCCCCACTCGGGGCCCCTCCTTTGGGGCGACGCTTCCAGTGTTGCCGCCAGACAGCTGGTCGCCCTTTTCGCCCTCGATGGGTTGTGCTTGGCAATACGTTTTCGTGACCTGTAAAAGAAGAGCACAGGGATAAGGTAGAAGGGCTTGTGACAGAACAGTGTTTCGATGTCTTTGTGGTGCTATCTGTTCTTTGATACTAAGGGGATTCATACTTCCGTGCAGCCATATGACTGACTGTGAGCTTTCAAAGTCTTGCGACAGAACGTGATCTGTGTTTCAATTCCGTTTATACAACCACCAAGAGGCCCACTAAGGCCAATTCAGAAGAAAAAGAGGACCCCGATAACAGAGGGTGAAGTCATTTGTAACTGTTCGCTTCTGGGAAGACAAAGCAAAGCCAGTACTTAGAAGACAAGTTACATAGTACATGGAAGCGAGAAGAAGCTACTAGGAGCTGAGAGGATTGGCCGAATGCTTTTTATAACCAGGTCGCATCATTCAGTACCATGGGGAAACGTGTGCCAGCTGTTGTTTCCCGGCAGGCTAGGGTGTTTAACCCAATCTGTTCAACTTCTCACACTTCAAAAAAGTCCCCAGCTTAAGTCGATCAGTGAGTCGTCCTAGCGGAGACCCCTCATATGTTGAACGTTTTATTACGGGTCACCAGAACCTATACGGGATGGGCTTACTAAATCACGGAAGTCATAAATCAGGGAAAGGTTCTGGAAACTGAAATTAGAACGGTAGTGGCTGGTGCCTCAAAGATTGCATAAGAGACACTTCATCCTGCTTTTGTATGGAAGGTCTCATCGCCTCCCCTTATTAAAGAGCTACTTCAGGGCAATCGGCCAAGACGTCTGCTCAGATCAACTGTTCACCACTTTTATGAGACTTCTGTCAAGAAAGCCCCCAGAATCCTTTTCAGTGAAAGGTCTGTCTCAGCATACATTCTTCTCACCTAGGAATGCTAAAACCTTGGCAGCAAAGACAAAGAAGGTGAGAAGAGCCAACTGCCAAGGACCCACAAAAGTTCGAAGCCAGAAAGCTCAGAGCCAAATTTGTTCAATGTCATTCTGCTTCGCTCCGTAAACACACAGAAGAAGAATGCCGAAACGCCAGAAAAAGCCTGAAAAACCTAGAAACTAAAGTTCACTCTGAAACCCATAATACCAAGAACTAAACTAGAAACCAACCTTGCGTGCTGTCGCAATCTTCTGTGGACTGAGACGGCCGGAGTTGACAGTCCCCAACGCGTTGTTGTTGTTTGAACCCCTGTTGCAGAATCCGTAGGGAGTGGAGAGGGCCAGGGCCTTGGAAGCAAGAACAGAGGCGGCCATTGCTGAAGCCATGCTTGGAGCCTGCACGTGCTGGACTCAAGTTTCGGTGTGGCGGTCAAACTTTTGAGTTCGTGTGTTTTGCATGAGAATGATCAGAACTTTGCTTTCCAGCTAAGTACAGTGAGCGTTCTAGGAGTAAATACCGCTTGATTGCGGCGTTCAGAGTTTTGAGTGCGCAGTCAAGAATGGTCAGCAGAACGGATTTGATTGTAACTGAAATTGAGCGTTTTCGGATGAACTATCCTGATTGTGTGGCGGCGGTTGATCTTTCGCCGCCACACAATCATGTAGCGTACAGAAGTGACTCAGTAGACTCCGAGTCTGGAGCACCGCCTTATCTACCTATATATCTTTGCACCCATTGAGAAGCTTGGTCCTCATGGCGAGCTGTCCTTTTTCTCCGCGCTTTGTCTTCCTCACGATTGCATCGCCGCACAAATTGGAACAAACGGATCAGGCAATATACACCACAAGTTGTCAAAATTTTTGCATCCAATATATATATAAGGAATCCGCGGTCACAATCCACAAGCCCTTCTTATACCGGCTCGTCGGGTGAGGTTATTACAAGGCAGAGGGCAAAAGCGGGTCCCTTACTGACAGTGGAGGCAGGCTATGGGGCAGTACGTCTTTGAGTGGTCGGTTCGAGATGACTCTGCCCGGGGCACTGAGAAAGACGGTCACAGAAAGAGCGTTGAAATTTGAAACGTAGCCAAAGTACTGCAGCGTTGGATGGACTTTCATATTGTCTGCAAACCCAAAAACCTGAGCTAGCTCGTGGCATCGGATCGAAGTGAGACTCGAGAGGCGTCGGATGAGAGATTTCGGATACATTTTGAGAGCCGCGCCAAGACTTCGAAACGTTTAGAAGTAATAACCGGGCGGCGGGGGGCGCCGCGCACTCTTAAATACAATTTTACTGATGATCAGGATATATGACGAACACAGAAAGCCCGAGGGTTCCGGGCGACAAGCAGCAAGCTGTGGATAGTGCAGGAAATCTACCATTGCATGAGAATCTAATTGTCGGGATTAGTGACGATTCTTGTCGCATTATATATGTATAAGTCACACAGTGATATGCCTATGCTCCATTGATATTCAAGTAGTTGCCCGACCAGTACTGGTTCATGAGGCAGCTAAGAACGTCGGACTCATATAATGCGCCACCTTCTTAGGTAATTCGTAATTCAGATAAGTACTTAAATTTATTACGTAGTGTATATCGACCGACTCCCCTGCACACAAAATTAGCGTATGGAGCCATACTCGAGCAGTTTGAAACCTAGCAATCCACTTATATTGCCTCCAAATTGAGACGTACTTCTCTGCAGGCGGCGCCACTCACTTACGGTAACACTAGTTAATTGCATGAATTGGCTTCTTCTAATGCAACAGTACTGAGTGCTGAGTTATGTTTGGATTGGACGTACGGCTTCTGAGGCACGATGGTGATGGAGCTATCAACAGCTGACCAAATTCAATGAGCGTATATATATGTACTACGTCGTAGTACTGTACAATAAGATTGAATATACGTTACCAATATTTCATTGGGAACTCCGAGTCCGCGGGCCGCTAATGTTTCTTCAAAACATGGGTAGAAGATTCAAGATATTAAGCTGGCGGTGACGACGTCTGAACGTCTCCAGAGTGCTCCTGAGGTCTCGTACCAGTGTATGTCCGTGGAACGAGACTAGCAAAGAAGCCTAATACCGCGACTAGTAACGCCAGCAGTCATTCGCGGTTCGCGAAACGCCCGGATTGCATGTGTCAGGTTGTCGAAACAAGTGTAACAACCGGTAGAACGTTTCGGTTGCAAGCAACCTGTTCGTACCGCTCCACCCTCTTTCCATACTGGTAGACAGCGAAGTCCTTCCGGTAATAAAAAACTTTCGGACCAGTTCGAATTCGTCGAACTTCTTTCTTCTACCGGTAAAAGAGTCCGGCAAAGTCTTCGCCCGGTAGAACCTGAGTTTGGCCAGTGTGCCGCTGCCACGTTTCGGACTAAGTGACTTTGAAGCCTGGTTGACGGTCTCTTCAGTGACTGTCAGTTCTGGCACTTATAGCAAAACTTATGAACTTAGTAAGGCTCTAGCAAAAGTAAGCACCCACACTAATCCTAGAAACCCCAACCCAGAAAAAACCATTGCTCTGCACCAGTGTACCGAGCCCAAACCCCCTATCTAATTACCGGCGTGACCCCACCCGTCCCAAATTACAGCTGGTCAGCTTATCTTTGCCAAATTGAAGCTTCGTACGCAGGACCCGAGTCGGACGGTAATTAGCTCGATCATACTAGCTTCACTGACTGAATTCTGTACAAAAGTTGAAGCTGAGTCAACTTGTCCGGATGTCTGGCACTCTGTCTCTCGTGTCATCGTGACGTGGCAGTGACGGGTTCCATGATGGGGGCATGACGTGCGCGTGGCGCCAGCTCATTGGTCAGGCTCGTGTTCATATGAATTGTCCGTGCATCACCCGTAAATTAGTCGCATTGCAACAAAACCAGGAGAGGCCTCAGCGCGCAAACGTTCTATAATGGATAAGGGTCGCAAAAGTTCTATAATGGATAAGGGGCCAAGCCACGGCCGCATTTGAAAGCTTTGAAAGAAATGAGACAAAGGAGGGACAAAGGCACTGACTTGGAATAAGTTTAAATGAGAAGAATCACTAGCATATTAATCTGTAGGAAGACGTACTCGAGAGGATGGCGTTTCACTAGCGGAGTCCGGCCGTTGAGCCGCGCAGAAAGCTTTCTGACTGTGAGGGATCCAACGATCGAAGGACTCAGTTCATGAGCCACGTACAGTAAACTTGGATCTGGAAGCCTCCGTTTGTGCCATTTAAACGCCCTGAGCCTCAAATACACGAGGCAAATGTCAGAACGGGTTACTCTAATGCTTTCTGGCGAGTTCAGATGATCCATTTGAACGGACCGCCCATAAGCGCGGCCATATTCAATGAAGTAGCAGCTTGCCAGGTGTCCAATATGATCAGGAGTACTAACGACCAGCAGCTTGCCACGTGTAAGGCAATCCCAAGCTACAAGCTGTAGGCGACGCCTGCAAGCAGGGAAAGTGTAAGTGGGCGTGGCGCTGCATGGTAAACATTATGCTGAAACGGCGACCAAGCACTCGAAATTTCCCCTCTGCAGTCGATCAAAAAGGCCGGAACGTGCTGTATAAATCACAGCGACACTCTGTCGCACTGAAAGCCCTGTCAGGCTGTGGCCAGAAAGCCGCGAAGTGGAGGGTTCGAGGCATAAGTGTCAACCAAAAAGGCATTACAGGCAAGGCGAAGTCAGCAGAGCGGTCTTCCGTGCTGACGTCAGCGGCAGGAGCGTCGGAACGAGGTGGGCAGAAGCGAGCGGGCGTTGATTACCGTGCGGTGAACCATCTTTGAGTGAGAAAAGACCCGAAGACCCACGTCTTCGGACGCGCAAAGCTAGGGGTGGATCAAATTTGTATGCCTCGGTAAAGTATCCGAGTTCCAAATCACTCGCAGATCACAAAATCAATTAACAAATTGCTCGGCCAGTGACGTGTGGGAGCTTGAACATGCGAAGTTACTTACCCATGAAGTAGCATTCCTAGCAGACAATCTTAAAGGAACTTTGCTTGTAGATTATTTTTCTGCACGTAGCAGCTTGCAGAAAGTGAATTATGATCTGGTGTTCAGGCCAATGGCTCAGTGCACGTACTGCCGAAGACTTCGCTTACTTCGTTGCGGATCTGCACCTTCACGTTTCACAGATGGCGAGACGCAGCTCGCTTCTATCAGCGTAGCAGTACTATATATACATCCCTCAAGCAGGACGAGTCGAAAGGAAGTTGACAACGGAGGGATGTTTCGAAAGTAGAAGGGCTCAATGGTTGCACGGAGAAAGTGAAAGAGGTCTAAACTGAACGAACAGAGAGGAGACAAGGGACTCTTCTGATCAACTGAGACTTCCGTTCCAGGCAGGGTCGACAGGAGTTGAAGCAAAGAGAAGACTGATTCAATTCGACTCCATTAGACTCGGATACATGAAGGAAAAATAAGTGGGACTGTGGAGAGTCGAAGTTGAGTCAGGCGGCCAGCGGTATGTGATACGTCTTCTGCGAGCAGCACTCTATCGGACGTACCGAGCTTGGTCGCCAAAACGTCGGAGGCCAAACACAGGTAAGTTTGGCCCTTAACCATGGATGGTTATGGGCTGGCCATGGATTGGTTGAAAACTGACTGTAAGTGTCCAATATCCAAAATAGGCCGGGAACCAGCCCCGAACCAGCTGCCTTGGAATGAGGTTTAAGCCCAGTTAGTGACCAGGTAATCAGCCTGGTTAGCAGCCAAAATCCCCTGTGATTTTTTTTGCGTTCATCTAAGTACGTGGTGACGAGGACACCTGCTCATTGTTTGGAAGTTGGCAGAATGAAAATCGTCGAAGCCCGAATCCTGGAGCCAGCCCGTGCGTGAAATTCGGCCAGGTGTTTCTGGATATGTACCTACTTACAGTGGGCGCTCCCAGGTGATCATGCATGCGACGCTTTGCGGCGACCAGGATCAGCTCGCCCAGCTATACGGGCTTTGATACACGGTATGAAGCACGAAACGAGCCGAAACTCTGACGTTCTTGAAGAAAGCGGCGAACGAATTTAACATAGGAGCGCGCTAGCTATATCCCCGGTCGGTCGCAAGGGGGGGTTCTGCATTGCTGCACAGGGACCGGTTCATGAGACCGTTTCGACATCGTAACCGCAAAGCGGTGCACGCTTTCTCCCTCTCTTCTGCGAGAGCGAGATGCTCGAGCATCTCGCTCTCGCAGAAGAGTCCCGGAGTTGGGATCCCAACTCCGGATTGGCTTTGCGAAAGTCAAGCTGGGGCCCCACACGCGACTGAGGTTTGAAACCCAACCACTTCAAGAAGACGAAGCGAAAAAACAAACGTACTGACGTCGAATCTTAGCCCACTAGTCAAGGTGCTGACGTCAGCAGCTAGTGATCCTCGACGGCCGGTTCGATCACATTTCCAAGCTGTGAAACTGCATCTTACCATTAATGAGGAGGCGTCAGCGATTCATCCGCACGTTCGTAGCGACCCGTATCTACGTCGGACCTTTCCGTCGCCGCCATGGGCACGTCCTTCTTTTTGGCATCGCCTTTTGAAGTACTGAAGACGTTTACAAATGAATCAAAGTCCGCGAATGCCCGGCCACCAAAGCCACGGGTTCGTTGAGAGTCCAACGTTTTCTTATATGCAGATAGATATTGAGGAGTCTCAGATAAGTTGTCGCGGCGGAGTTTGCCGGCGGCCCAGCGGCCCGGTACGAGTCAACGCCCGCTCACTTCCCTGCAAAAAGGGAGCCGGGGCCCGCAGCTCCGGGCCGGTCGGCAAGTAACCCCCGTGTTCAATCAATTAGCTCATCTGATCATCTCAGAGTGACTGCACAAAAGCGGACGGGAATATAAGTTATGCACCGGTTCCCGCATGCCTTACTTTTGACGGACAAAAGATTAAGCAAACTTTTGCCATTTTCGTCGTGATTAGCCAGACAAGATGGCGCGTTCATGTCCGGTTTCGTCGCACGAGATGAGATCGAAGCGCCAGTACTAGTATGCCAAAGCGCATCACTACGAACAAATTGCAAGCGGGCCTAGTGTAGCGCGGCTTGCAGAATTTCTACAGGGGACATTAAATACTGTGGTCATTTTGACGTCAGCGCCAACATCGCCCAAGCGGAGCTAGCGGCCGCCGGCATTTCCAGAAACCACAAGCCCGTTTTTACGCTCCCTGAGAATCGATTCGACGTCCCCGGGATGCATGTACTCAACGTCTGATGCATGAGAGTCTCATCACGATCTGGCCTTGCATGATTCATGCAGTCGATCGCGGCCCGCGGAAGATCCCTGCGGTTCGAACCTGCCATGCAAGGCACAAGTCGCCTTTGAGATAGCACTGCAACCCACAAACCTACTTATGTATTCAATTCTGACGGTAATTGAACAGAACGCGAAGTTGCGGCCATGCATGCGGGACAGTGATAAAATTTCATGGAGCCGTCAGTACAGTAACTTAAGTTTTGAGTAGATCCAATGGTTAGATCCGATTGGAGGAAAGACCCGTTTCATATATACTCATGCCATCTGCGGCTGCCTTTTCAGAACCACGTCTGATTAGTAGCACGTACATGCGCAAGCGCAGAGGATTGTCAGCTAATGTCACTAATCATCATAGTACTTCCTTATGTGAAAAAAGGTTGCAGGAAACAAGGGATCGAAGAGCTCCGCTAGATTTTCTTCGTTACGAGAAGGAAAACTCAGGCGGCTCTGATTGATCGCCCACTGAAGCAATCACTTTGCTCATCAGGGATCTGATTTGGCTAACTCATCTACGTTACGAAATTCATGTACAGTCTAGTGAGGTCGATATCCGCAGATTTGGCACGTTTGACAGGCTTGTTTCAAAGAGGATATTGAGAGTCTCAATGCAAGACGCGGTATCTCGATTTGACGTAAAAAGTCCAATCTACAGAACCGTTTCTGAGTGTCTAGGTTGACGAATACTTTTACATGCTGGATGACCATATCTACGATCCCTCAATCCTAAGCAAAAGAGCTCTGCTTTGTGCAAGGACTGTCCTTCTTCCCGAACTTCCTATACCTTTAAAAGCTGGATGTAAGCAAAATTGACACTACCAGTTTTTGACTCCTTGCGCGCCGTCAAAACAAAAACACAGGCTAACCATGCCTGTTTAGCCTTGGGTTAGGCCCCTTCTTAGCAGCTGTATGTGCTCTCGTTGGTTGTTATCTAAGCAAGCATGAGGAACGGCAGCTCCTTCAACCAGCCGCGAGCGTTTAAGTGCGCGACGCATTTGACTCTTCAACTACTCCCCTAACGGCAACAGTAGCGGAGCACTTTCTAACGATCTGATGTCATTCCGAGCTTGCTTTCTTGAACGGACCTCTAACAAAAGGACAGGGTGTAAAGAGCTCCTTGTCCCTGCAACGGAGACGATTGGAGGGAAAAGTTCAGTTTCCAACCAGCTTTCAAGAGTCAAACTCCACGGACAACTAGTACGTGTGAGGTCAGTCTCCGAGAGCTCCTCTGTTGCGAATCGAGCCTCAGCTGAAAGCAGTCAGAAAAGAAAAGAAACTCCGGAGTAAGCGAAGCCCAAAAATATCGAAGGGTCGGAGAAGACGCCAGAAAAAGCAAATAAGGCAGACAACTCAAATGGGCGGTAAATAGTAAGGGCTTTTGAGCTAGCAGAATTGCATCTGGTGAGCCGTTTTGGAGTGCTCTGGCCGTTTTTCCCCCGAAGGGGTTGTCGTCCTTCTGATCGATCTAGTAAAGTCCAAAACTCGAGATCCTTTTGGTCTAATGGCTAACGCTTAGTCGTTTTTCCCAACCAAAAACTGGACCTTAGCTCAGCAATTTGCCGGTAGAAGTTTGGATCTGATTGGCGTCAATTGTGAAAGGCCCAGCTAGCTAGATATGTTTCCGAACACCGAAAATTTACAAGCTTAGCACCTTCATGCAAGTTGAACCCTTTATTGCCTAAGCCATTGAGAGCAGAGCTCCAACTGCAGGGCGGAATCAAGTGCCCTGCCAAGATGCTAATGCTTGGCGCAAGTTGGCTAAGGAAACAGAAGGAATTTGGAAGGAGGCGGACGGATCAGAAGGAACAGGATTATCGAAAGGCAATTTAAGTTGAAGGAACGCAGGCAACCGTATAACAGAAGGAAACAAGGGACAGACGGAGGCGGATAATACAGCAGGTTCCGGCCCTAGCTCTGACCACCAAAACAATCAAGCAGCGGGCGGAAAGACACCCACCCCCGCGCACTTGCTGCACGTGGAGCTTCCTTACGGTGCTTTACATCAGTGGCAGTGTGGCGATTATTGGTTTTGGCTCTATTTCGAGAGTTCACGCAGAAGGAAAACACTGCAACTTTTGACCTCGCAAACACTTCCTCTTCTTTGATTAATTGCCCCCCCTGTTGCGCTGCTGGTTAGTATCAACATGCGTACTGTATGCAGAGTGCACCTCCGTTCAAATGGAGAAAGATTCATTCCGTTCAACCATAACAAAACCATATCACTTGCGGAAGCCTTATTGTTCCGGATGGGAAGTGCCCCGGCAGCGCTCTTAAAGAAGTGTCTGCATAACGCTAGCCTGAGCTTGGCACGTGTGTGAAGGCGCCACCGTGTGTGATCAGCCCACGACAGAAGGTACGTAGTTGCTCTAACTTATAAACGGTCAATCTCCAGGAAAGTGTCGTCCTACCATGCCAAGCTGTTAGCTAGCACCCGAACTGGCATTCTACACAAGACCCAAGTTTCGTCCTACCTGCTTCTTAGTGATAGCGAATCCCGGATGTGCTGTAAGTTGGACGCCTTCTTGAGTTGCCAATGGAACAAGCTGATACAATTGACCCCCCAGAAGTTTTCCCACCTGCAATACTGCCAGCCGGTAGGGTACACAATATTTCAACTGATTTGACCACAACAAACTCAACAAAATCTGGACCACAAAAGGCCAAAAGTCCTAGATTTGAAAACCCACTTGCATGCTTATGAACAGGCAGACACGTGGTTATGCGTGGTGGACAGGACGCGGACATGCATCTTGAACAGCCCATCACAGAAATCATATGCAGTCTCCCAGACCACAGAAAACGTGCTCCTTGAGAATCCACCCACCTACCAGCTCCAAGCCAACTCGGTACTTTCTTAAGGTCTATTTTAGGAATCCCGACAGCACAAGTCTGCAAAGTCCAGAGCTTTTGAAAGAAAACCCATCTCATTTTCAGAATTGGTACACGTGGTGATGTGTGGTGTAC